GCAGTTTTAGGAAAAAGACTCAGGCAGCTGAGAAAACGAGTGCCTCAGTCCTGAGGGATCTGGGCAATACCCCACATCATTCATTACAGCCACCCATTATGCTTGAACTTGCTTCATACAAACTATTCCAGGGACAGCTTCTTTAAGATTCTGATTGGTCTCTTTTCCTGGGAAAAGTCAGAATAGGGAAGTTTTAGTCCTACTTTGCTGGGTAACGTGGCTGTTTTAAACAAACGTACTTTCCATGTTTAATGTGATAACTATCTCATCTTTCCCAGCTCTATAATTTCTCATTTGATATATTCTCATGTTTCAGTTCGAATTCACTTGTTGGGTCAAGCCAGAACACATATGAAGGTTAGTGGGACGAACAATAGCCCCTGTTGCTACAGACAGTTGTAAGGCCACTGCTAATACTCATTGTTTCCGTCTGAAAAACTACCCATTCTAGATTTTGCTCACTCACAGCATGTCTGGTGGTCTTGGTGTCTAACTGGTAAGGGAGTCAGAGCTCCTTTCTTGAGAGTTGGGAGCTCCTGCACTCTGCTATTCTAGAACGTGGCTGATTATCTGTCCATCTACTATCATGATTGGGCACAGGCATATCAAGAGATGTTTCAGTGGTATCAGAGTCACTTTCCCTCCTTAGATTGTGTAACAGAGGCCCTATCTTCTCCTGATGAAATGGTTAATTACTTCTGTTAGGAAGATGACTCCTTCATTTGCTGCTTGGCATGAAGAGCCTGAAGTTACTGTGAAGCTTTACAACATAAATGAGACTCTTCCTACGTTCTATGGTGAAAATATTTCCTCTACAGAAACCAGAATTTTCAGGCCTATAGATTAGAATTGCAGGGATTTAAAATATAAATTCCTCATGTGGCTTACAAATGATGACAAGAAAGTCCACTCCTCTTCCACACCTTATTGTCGGACGTGTATAGTCTACTTACTGGGGACACAACCCTATACGATGCTTAGTAGTTTAGGGTATGTAACACATCTTGGATTAAGGTGTCTCTTTTTTGCCATTGAAGCAGACTGGATTAATCTATTTTGTTCTGAACTGACATCAACGGTCAGGGATACTTGCTGGTGGAAGGGACATGGCAGAAGGTATATCTAGGAATAATCAGATGGGTAGCAATGTCTGCATTCCAGAGGACGGCCAACTAGGATAAAGTAGAGCCCTAGTGCCTAAGTAGAGGCAACTATAGGCAAAGCAGAGGCAAAGTTTCAGGATTGCAAATCAACATGAATTTAGGATAGAATTCAGTCTCATTAGAGTTCTGTATTATGACAAGGAAGCATTAAAATTATTAGTTGGAAAAGGTACTAATGATGGATAACTAAGGACATCAAGAACTTAAGGTACATATAGCAACAGATTGCTTACAGATTCTCTCTACTGAAAGGGTAAGGGTACGTGGTGTCTGCATATGCTGCTACTATTACAATATAAGAATGTAAGTTTAGTTCCATTCTAGTACGAATTACCTTGGCTGCAAAAATTTCAAACCCAGTTGAGTACAAAAATGAAGAACATGAATTTTCTAGTCTTTTTTGAAACTGCATGCTGATTTGCATAGGTAGCTGTGACCTGGTGGAGGAGAGGAAAAGTGAAGTGCAAACTAGCCAGCGCTGTTAACAGTGTTTGGCTACGAATCCTGCGGACCGCTCTTCATAGGCAATTATAGATGCTTGAGGTATAAGCGTAACTCTCCAAAGAGGCATTGTCTTGCCATTTTAAATATCCAGGGCATGGTGGTAGCATAATACAATATAAATAGCTAAGAACTACTGAGCACTTACTACATGCCAGGCAGTGTTTTGTGTACTTTACATATATTGATTTGTTTAATGTTGACAGCAACTCTAACATAGGTACTAGAATAATCTTATTTTACAGATAAGGGAACTGAGGCCCAGTGAGATTACTTAACTTGCCCAAAATGGACACATTCTCAGTGGCAGAGTTGGCATTAAAAACCAGGAGGCCTAACTACAAAGTACTTATTCTTAGACACTCTTCTAAGATGAAAATTGCTTTTATGGGTGGTGGCAGAGTAATCTGCTTATGTTTAAACACTCTGGTTCTCAGGCTAAATTAATCTATGGAAAAACCTTACCAAGATGAGAAAAAGGGAGGAGAATAAGACCTGTAACATGTTACTTTATGTGTCTTAGTTCTGAAAAACAAGGGTATATCAAAAAAAGAAATTATAGAGCTGAATGGTAGATAGATACAGTTTTGACTGAGGTAGAAACTACATTAAAAATAGCTTCATCAGATTGGAAAGTGTGACTATACACAATGGGAGGCTGATAAAAACATATGGGCTATTTGTACACGTCTCTTCAAGAATTAGATTTTATGAGGCCAGTACAAGTAAGTTTCTCAAGCAAATAGAATTACCTGCCCTTGGGACAGTCACTCAAGTCACTTAGACTTCAAGCTCTCAAAGTCTTCAACTGCAAAATGAGGGGGTTAAATAGATTATTGCTGAATCTCTTGCCAACTCAAAAACTATGAAACTAGGCTCAGGTAATGAGTAAAACAAGCTGGAGTGAGAAGATTCTGGAGCTAGAAGATGCTGGTTGACTATTCACCATTTACCACCTGAATGATTGTCATAGATTTGGTTCCCTAGGAAACAAACTCTAAGATTTAGAGATTTGTGTGTGGGTAATTTATTGGGGAACAACGCATGAGAGGGTGAGGAAAGTTGGGCTAGGCAGAGTGAGCATTTGAATTGTGACATAACTACAGTATGTGTCTGCGCCAGTTTTATGGGGGAACTCTGAGGCTGGGATGACCATTGAAATAGTCCTGCCTGTTTTAATGGACTTTTAGCTAAGATGGAGTCTAAGGAATTAAGACTTGATCTAAGAAAGGGGATTTATCTTTCCTTCAGAAACAACTAGAGAAACAGGCAATACATACAAAAAATGGCTTTTAAGACCCTGGACATTAGGCAATTACAGATGGCAATTGATATGGTATGGAAAACAAAGTGAGTCCTATGGCTTCTCCATCCTATTGCCTTAAGAGAGTTTCTAAGCCATGGCTTAGGGAGAGGGAATCAAGTTGGAGTCCAGTGGACATTTTGAGTTGAGATGGAGTTGAAAGTTCTAGACAAATACAGTGACTATATTTCACATGGCAAAATACTGCAAAGGAGAGAGTGAGAGGGATCCCTGGATATCAGCGTAGGGCAGTCTCATGTACACACAGAGGACCAATTGGCATATGTGTGTGGGGAGATTACCATCTAAGAACAGAGGAAACAGAGGCTGCTGTTAACTCAAGGCTACATTTATTGTCATGGGACATTGGGCGCAGGATTCAGAAAGGTCTTGGCTTAGTGTGCAGAAATAATTAGCCTTAGATTAAATACTGATCAAATTTATCCAAATGATTTAACTGGATCCAGAGTAAAGCTCAGGAACACATACAGAAATAGAAGAATATCCAGCACACAAAAAGGTAAAATTTACAATGTCTGGCATCAAATAAAATTAAGCAAGAATGCAGAAAAGTAGAAAATTGTGATTCATATGGGTAGAAAATCAACCTAACAAACGAACTCAAAACAGACACATATTAGAATTAGCACATGAGGACACTAAAATGGTATTGTAACAATTTAAATATATCAAATACATTGAAAAATATAAGTAGAGGCGTGGAAGATATGAAAACATCCAAATGATTAAAACCACAGTGCCTGGGATGCAAAATACACTAGATGAAATAAGATTAGATATTGTCAAGAAAAGGTTAATAAACCTGATGACACATTAATAGAAAGTGTAAAAAATAAAACACACAGAGAAAAGCAATTTATATTAAAATAAAAATTTAAAATAACATCAGAGAGTTGGATTACTTCAACTGGTCAAATGTACATGCCATTGGATCCTCTAAAGGAGAGGAGGAGTGACGGATGGAAGTATTTGAAAAAATAATGGCTGAAAATTTTTCTAATTTTATGCAATCCAAGAAGGTCAATATACCTCAAGAACAAGAGAAATAAGACAAATCAAATCAAGGTAGGTCTGAATCAATTTGGTCAAAAGCAGTAATAAAGAGAAAAATGTTAGAATCAGCCAGAGGTCAAAGACACAGTATGCACAGTGGAACAAAAATAAGAATTACAACAAATTTTATGTCAAAAACCTATGTAAGCTAGAATTCAGTGGAATATCTTAAAATAATTAAAAGAAAAATGGCAACTTGGGATTCAGTATTCAAGAATAAAAACAAACATACAAAACTTTAAAGAATTCTGTAGACCTGAACTACAAGAAAAGCTAAAGGAAGTCCTCAGGCAGAAAGGAAATGATACCAGATGAAAAGAAGAATGAAGATACAGAAAATGAAAACTACATGGGTAAGTGTATGAGATCTTTTCTTTTTTATTTTTCTATAGAGACAGAGTCTCACTCTATTTCCCAGGCTGGAGTGCAGTGGTATGGTTATGGCTCACTGCAGCCTCAGACTCCTGGACCCAAGTGATCCACCAGCTTCAGCCTTCCAAGTAGCTAGGACTATACTACCATGCCTGGCTAATTAAAAAAGCCCAAAAATTTAGAGATGGGGTCTTGCTATGTTGCCCAGGCTTGTTTTGAATTCCTGGCTTCAAGCAATTCTTCCGCTTTGGCCTCCCGAAGTACTGAGATTACAGGTGTTGGCCACTGTGCCTGGTCCGAGATATTTTCTTATTATCTAAACTTTAAAGGAAATTATTAAAATTATTTAAAGCAAGAATAATAAAAATATAGTGTGGAACCTATAACAAATGTGGAAGTAAAAATATATATAGAAGTAAAAAATAATTGGATTGTTTAGACTATTTTCATATAATGTGATTATTGATATAGTTAAACCTATAAACTATTATTGATAGTTTTTGCCAATTATTTTTTATTTGTCCCTTCTGTTTTCTCTTCCCCTTTTCCTCTTTTTTTTTTTTTCTCTTCTTCTAGGTTATCTTGATTCAGAATTTTTTGACTTTGATGTATAAGGGATGAAAAACAGATCAAGTGAGCCCTGTGTTTGCCACAACTTCCAATAGGAAAATCCTGGAACAAACATACCAGATTCCATTCACAGATTCCAAGGTAGAGAGGGTTTAGAGAATTTATGGCTGGATGAGCGCCTTCTAAGCTTCCTTCTTTCTAGGTAGCTTTTCTTCAAATCAATGCTAGATATAAAATGAACAGAATCTCCTATTTTGGGTAAGGTGGGTCATGATTTAAAATATCTCAGTATTTTCCCAAAAGAAACCAGATTTACAAGATGAAAGTATCACACCAGGAGTTTATTATGGAACATTCACTTTCCTTTGACCCTCACCACAGTGTACTTTCATTACTTATCAATCTGGGGGGCGGGAAAAAGGGGTGCAGCCAGACAAGAGAATATACAGGAAACAAGCATCGTATATGAGTCTATGTATTTCAGTAATGCTTCTACAAGGGGATACAAAATCAGGTGCCAGCTTCTGGAAAAAAAGGGATTTTTTTTTCTTCCCTCAATCTCATTCAGCCCCTCGACGCTGCCTGAAGTAGCGATTATAGGCAGCATTGTATCCATAAACCATGGCGTAGCGTTCACAAAGCTTGTAGTCATCACAGGCTTCCCGATTGAGCTCATGGGCAGACTTAGAGCGTTCTCGGATCCTAGAAAGTGGAAAAAGAGGCAAAAATTGAGAAGCATAAAGTGGAAAAATGAGAAAATGGATAAGAAAAAATATTGGAGATTGTTTCCCTCCATGCTCCCCACCCAAGCTAAGAGATATTTAAAGAACAGGGAGAGGCCAGGTGTGGTGGCTCAAGCCTGTAGTCCCAGCACTTTGGGAGGTCAAGGAGGGCGGATTACTTGAGGTCAGGAGTTCAAGACCAGCCTGGCCAACATGACAAAACCCTGCCTCTACTAAAAATACAAAAATTAGCTGGGCATGGTAGCATGTGCCTGTAATCCCAGCTACTTGAGAGGCTGAGGCATGAGATAGTGCCAGCAATCCAGCCTGGGTAACAGAGTGAGACTCTTGCTTCGAACAAACAAACCAACCAAAAAAACCAGAGAGGGAAGGCAGAACAGGAGATTTTTTTTTTTTTTAAATGAAAATAGAAGTTTTCTTTCTGTGCTCCTTTCTCTCCTCCTTCCCTCTCCTTTCCAGATCTTTCCCCAAATAGTTTTCTAATAATTCAGTTGTTTTCTGTATATTGTTTTTAAGTTTTTTGATTTTAAAGATACAATTAGAAATAATGTATATGATGAAAAACCTGTTTCCCACTCCACTTCAGATCTGTGATCTACTCTGGGAAAAATGACCGCCCCTCATGAAGTTTTGTTACTGACCTCTCGTGGACTTTAGCTCTCCATCTCTGCTGAGGAGATATGAAAGTATTCGCATTTCTCCTGTTAATGAAGGGATCTTAGAACAGAAAATAAATAAATGCAGTTTTGGTAATACATAGCTGAAAATATTTCCATGAATATTCCTTGACACAAATATATTTGAAAGTGCCTTAATTTCTGCAGTTCACATAACCAGAGATTGGCAAAAATCAAAGGAGGGTATAAAGTAGATTTCACTAACTTCCTGATCAAATGAAACCAGTAATCAATCCATGTGTCTTAAAGACTGGTCATGTCAGCTTTGCTGGTTTTGCCTTTGGACAATCACTTTGCCTTTCTTAATCTACATATTTCTACTTGGTATGTTTTAAATTCCTTTTGAGGAGAAATTCTCTGTCCTGAGGATTTATGAAGCATAACTCTAGATTGTCAGTGAACGAACAGTTAAAACACTATAAAAATAACGAATAAATGGAAAACCAGAGTGATATGCCATTTCCTCCTATGCTCAGTCTTTATAAGACCAGCTACTCAACAGCATTCAGCTGACTGGGCTCAGTATTCTCACGCCTGTAATCCCAGAATTTTGGGAGGCTGAGGCGGGTGGATCACTTGAAGCCAGGAGTTCAACACCAGTCTGGCCAACATGGTGAAACCCTATTTCTACTAAAAATACAAAAATTATCTGGGCATGATGGTGTGTGCCTGTACCAGCTACTTGGGAGGCTGAGGCATGAGAGTTGCCTGAACCTGAGAGGTGGAGGTTGCAGTGAGCCAAGATCGCTCCACTGCACTCTAGTCTGGGTGACAGAGGGAGACTCCATCAAAAAAAAAACAAAACACAGCAAAACAGCACTCAGCTTAACGTGGCGCCTGTGGTCTTCCAGCTGACTTGGCGTCCAACTCTGTGCTTTACCATTTGTCATTACTCCTCGTTTTCCATCTGTGTGGTTGACGTGGTGCCAACTTAAAATTTCCAAATGAGATTTTATGGCTTCTGAGTATGTTGCATGCAGCTTAAATCCCATATTGCACTACTTCAAGCTTAAAAAATTGCTCCTTTGGCAATTTTTGTAGTCATTAGATTTTAAAATTTACTTTAGTTTTCCAAAAGAGGCCCCCTTTTTTTCTCCCTGTTATATATCTTACCATCTTGTTTATTTAAAAATAGGGAGAGGTTCTTTAATGCAAGAGATTTAAATAAGGAAGTTAAATATTCACTTACTAAGTTCATAAGATTCCATGCTTTCATGAGATTCTGGAGTTAAAAATAAAAAGATTCATTATATCATTATTTATCAGTTTAGACATTGTAATAGTTCAAATATAGGGATGGAAGGAGAGGAAAGAGTCTGAAAATGTGAAGAACATATTTAGCAGTGTGGTTATTACAAATTTCAGGAACTTGGGATTTATGAGGCTTTTCTCTAGCTCTGGCTTTGCTGTGAATATCTCTGTATTTTAGTTTCTCTGATGTTGAAGGAGGAAGTGGCCATTTTGAGCTAAAATTTCCCAAGTATGACGTCTTTAGACAATCAAAATAAGACACTTTAAGTGCTGCACAGAAGTCTCCAGAGAACAATCTTCTCTGATTTACTCAGAGCTTGTTTGAGAACGGGTCAAAGAGGATTAAGAAGGATCCAGAAGACGGCCAGGTTTCTCCAGGCAAGAGAACTGCAGGGCAGTTGCTCTGCTGGGCTTACTAAGACAAGTTTCTAAGAGGGATCCGAAAACCTCTTAAGAACCTGTGTTAAATTGGCAGCCACTGAAACCACTGGCTCCAGCTGACAGCGCACCCTGGGCACAATGCCAGTTCAGAGAGAGAACTGAAACGATGTCAAAGCAAAAGTTTTCTTCTTTCTGCAACTCTCCTGAGCACAGCAGGTAAATTTTGGAATAAGAGGCTTCCATTAATATTTGCTAGCAAGTAAATTTTCTTCAAAAGTTAAAAAGGAGGTGAAGAAATCAAATCCTCTGATATAGAAAATTTGTGAATACAAGAGTGAGAAGCATAATCTTTCTGGTTGTTAATGTAATTTAAATTTAAAAACAGTGAAAATATCCAGGTAATTGAAGTGTGAGACTGAATTAAGTAAATAACTTTGCTTCAGATTTCCGTTTTTAAGCTTTGAACAAACAGAAGTATATTTAACGACATATAGAAGAAAGGCAAAATTTATTTTCTGACAATAGAAGTTATGAAAATGATTCTTTTCTAAAATTCTTTTGATGTAAAACTTTATTTAAAATTAATTAACTGAACAAAAATAGTAAGTTCATGATATTGTTCATGATATTAAGTATAGCCTAGACAGGGCTATACTTAATACTTCACATGAAAATTAATTTTCTCAAAGGCAAATGGTTTAAACAATATCCTTAACCCATTGATACCAAAGTCTAAATTAATATCCTTAAAAATGAGAACGCAGTGGCTGGGAATTTGGTATCTTCTTTCTGAAATATCTGAGTTTCTAGATATACAGAGACTTACCACTGAAAGGGCTTTTCTGTTAAGTTGCACAAGAGTCTGGATATTTAGGATATAAAAAAGACTTAATACAACAGATCAGTTTCCGTGGAGACTGGGAAATGTGAAAGTAATGGTACTTTAACATTATAACAGAGAAAGGGGGAAGAAGAGGAGGAGGGAGAGAAAAAATAGAAGTGACTCAAAATCAGAGGCAGAAAAGTAAATTCAGAGAAATGGGAGAAAAATGTCTCACCATAACACAAAGTTACCACCGCTAAGGCAGCCAGGATGGCGAGAAAGACCAGGCTCTTCATGGTCTCGTCCTGCAGGTCAGTGGCAGGGTTGTGTGTAGCAGCAGTAGGGAGAGAGGCTCCTACAGGATGTTAGTGGAACGCTGTGAGGTTTTTATAGGAACCAGAGCAGTTGAGAGGGGAGGAACCAGTGGGAGAGGGCCGGAGAGGTGGGGAAGAGTTGGCACTGAACTAGCACTGGAACTTTTCCCAAACAGTCATTCCTTCCAGATATTATCTACTCTAAGTGGGCAGTTTTCCCTCACTCCTGGTCCTGACCGTGCTACAGCAGGATGCTGCTCTGGTGCAGAAGTTGTGGCCATCCTACGCTTGGTGACAGACCTGGGCAAAAGCCCGCAGAGGGAGTTGCCTCAAACATGTGATCTATCCTCCTAGCCCTGACCACAGGCCTTTTGGGTTTGGTCCACAGACAGAGCCCTAGCGTTCTGTTTGTTACCCTGATGGATTGATGAGAGGTTTGTGGGGAGAAGGGACTTCACTTTCTTTTCTTTTCTTCTTTATAACCTTTGCCTCTTCTTCCAGAAGGACTTCATTTTCTATGCTGATTATAATTTAGACATCTTCCCAGTAGTGTTAATCCTAGACCTATCATTCCCAAACCAATCAGGCATTTGTGCATTTTTCCGAGGAGTCAGCAGGGTGGAGCTGTCCAGTGCCCCGTGAGTTCTGTTTCCTTGATCGACACCATTGTAACTTGCCCATCCAGTTTTGGACATTAGTTCAGACCTGTGCCCTAGTTCTCACTTAGGCAGAATGTCAGTGATGGAAAGTGCAGCAAGGCTACAAGGGGACTCTTTTCTCATTTTCTGAGGGCATTGTCTCGATAATTAACTAACTCGATAGACTTTTTAGTGAGTGGCAAATGAGATGCAAGGTACTGTGCTAGGTGCTGTGGGGATGTATGGACAAGCAAGACACCTCCCTAAGGAGGTAAGTAATGGCTCCTTGCTATTCACTTCACTCTTTCACTGTAACGTATCCTCAGGCACAGGGTTTCACTACACCATCAGGCCCAGAAGTACTAGCTTATTATCCCACAGGAGGATTTCAGTTTCATGCCTCTGGTTATCTTGTGGAGAGACCTCTTTTTTTTTTCCTTTCTTTTTTCTCCCCCCTTCTTTTGCAATCACAAAATCTATCCAACCAGATGTGCCTCTGTTGCTTGGGTGCCCAATGGTTTTCTTTGAAGACAACAGACTTGAGTCACAGAGCAGAAGATTGTAGAAGAGCTGCAGCTTTGGGACCTCTGACCCTTGGGCTGGAACAGCAGCAGGGCTGGGCTGGGTTGGGGGTGGGTGGATGTGTCTTTCACTACTGATGTATTTCAAGGAGTGGTGATGAACTAGGTGGAGCCTCATGCTTCATTCTTTTTGTGTTATTGGGATGGAGTTTCCCTCCCACCCTCCATGCTCTGAAGAGCTTTTATAAATATTAAGAGTCTCCATTAAAAGAAATAACTCCTTTGAAATCTGAAAGATTGAGTTCTGAGGAATGAATAAAATTTGAGTTTTCCCTCCAAAACCTAAGAAATAGATTCTCTGTGAGAAAATCTTAAAGAACATCTCAGAAAGAAGACCATGTATGTTCATCCTTGATAAATTCAACTATCACAATTCCCACAAATGAGGTTGGCGGTTGTTTCACTCTTTAAAGCACAACCTACTCTGAGCGTTAGTTTCAGCGTCCATCTTCTAAGATAAATCACCCGAATCAATGAATAATTTAAAGTGTGAAAAACAGTTCACTACATTGCATGATTCTGGGGGAACAAGCTAGCCATAAATGTTTCATATGTACTTAGCTTAGTAATTAACCCCCAATTAACGTAACATCAAACAAGTTTAGTTCCAATGTTTCGCCCTTAAAATGAGTAGTCTACTCTCCCCGTCCTCACTCCAACTCCAGAAAAAGTCTTCCCAGTTTCCTGCAATAAACGTGTGCTTTCCAGTGTACATTAGTCCTTCTCCAGTCAAGTTCTAGACGTCTCCTCATCCCCAAGTTCAAATGGCAACTATAATCTTTCAGCCTCTGACATCACAATTGTTTGTTTATTTTTTACACTCCCAGAAATTAAACTCAAAAATCCTATACTTCTCATTTCAACTTAAGCTTCACCTTCTGTTCACCTCAAATCACTGCTTCCACTGGATTCCCTCAACTTAAGCATTTCTCTTTATTGACTTGGTTTTTTGTAGCTAACTCTCTTTTGGGAGCTGTGTCTCTTCAGTCCCTCATCTGACTTTTCTGTCCATTGCTCTCCATCTACTTCTGGGTTATTCTCTGTAAAATCCCATTTATATATGATTTGTAAAAATTATTAACGTGTGAGAATCCAGAGCCCTCATTTTTCTCTTCTGTCACCCTACTCCCCATTTCAAACACAATTTTGTGAATGCCAACTCTAGTCATATGTTTTTAGGAAGAGAACTTAGACTAACCCATAAAGCAGGGTTGGGAGACTTACATTAGAAAGGACGAAGATCGACTCATCTGAGACAAGAGAGGAAAAGAATGGGGGTAGAAAAAAAAAATCGGAGAAGGGGAAATGAGAAAAGCCTTACTAGTTTGGTTTGCTGGGTGAGTTTTAGGTAGTGATTGAGTGACAAAGAAAAACTGAGGCAATTGTGGAAGGTGAGACATATTAAAAGTGAGACATGGGAACAGAGAAATAAAAGTGGCTTTGGTTAGGAATAGAATTGAGACGGCAAAACACTGTCTGAGAATTTTCAGAAAATATTGAAATTTAAACAACTTAATTTTGCCAGCTAGTTTCCATTTTCTTAATTGGGATATCTTGTCAAGACAAGACCACATGAAACTCTAAATTATAATTAGATTTTAGATAATTATGAAAGACACTTATACAGACATTTTCCCTTAACAAAAGAGAAGTGTTATTCAGAGGAGAGAATATTTGAAGATACTCCCAGAAATGATAACAGAAATATGGGACAGTGATATGATTGCCAGTTTTTAAAAATGTATAGGAATCTCCTCATGTGAGGTTGGCAACGTGGGAACTGAAGGAAGAGAAGCTGGAGTAATACAAGATATCCTATTCTACCTACTCTCAGGCAGAAAAGAGAATGACCATGCCTGTCAGGGCCAGAAGGCGCTTGGGATTTCATAATACTCCCATCCATCCATCCATCCATCCATCCATCCAATTATTAATCTAGCCAACAAATGTACTGTGCATCTACTGCATGTCAACTCTAGGCTGAAAATACAGTATAGAGAAATACAGATATGGGTCCTACCCTCAGGCATCAAGTGTACTCTTTGAACACAAATTGAATAGTGGCTCCTCTTATTTAAAAAGTTGTCAAGGATCTAGAAATAGAAATTCTATTTGACCCAGCAATCCCATTACTGGGTATATACCCAAAGAACTATAAATGGTTCTACTAAAAGACACATGCAAACATATGTTCATTGCAGCCCTCTGTACAATAGCAAAGACCTGGAACCACCCCAAATGCCCATCAATGATAGACTGGACAAAGAAAATGTGGTACATATACACTATGGACTACTACACAGTTATAAAAAATGATGAGTTTGTGTCCTTTGTATGGACTTAGATGAATCTGGAAACCATCATTCTCAGCAAACTGACACAAGAACAGAAAGCCAAACACTGCATGTTCTCACGTATAGGTGGGTGTTGAACAATGAGAACGCATGGACTCACGGAGAGGAGCATCACACACTGGGGGCAGTTGGCGGGGGTAGGGGGGAAACAGCGGTGGGTGGGAAGGGAGAGGAGGATGGGGAGGGATAACATGGGGAGAAATGCCAGATATAGTATGCACCTAAAGTAAAATAAATAAAAAAAATAGTTGTTAGGCAGCCAACTGGCCTTAAAGAAGACCAAGTAATGAGCTTTCTCATTGGGCTGACCTTTCTTATGAGCACTCAGAAGTATCTATCTCTGTTTCCAAAGCATCAAGAAAGGTGCCAATGACCAGCTCAGATAATTCTGAATTTAGAGAGGGAATGCAGCACAGAACATTGGTAGAGCTTCTGGGAAATATTGTGGAGAGAAGCTTTTCAGATATATTTTACCAGAGAATATACCAAAAGAGTTACCCCCTTCACATGGTATTTCTGTGACTAAAATAATGGCACAGAGGTAGTAAGAGTGATATATTTCCCTACCAATTCTACCTCCTTCTCTTTCTGTCCTTGCTTATCCTTTAACTAACTCTTTTTCAGATGGCCAGGCATTTTGTCTCTTGGGAAGAATTTTCCCAGCTCCAGTCAGATTTCTTTTTCTTTTTCTGCTGTTCCATGAAATTCAGCTTTATTTACCAAATTTTGATTTTATGATTTTTTTTTAAAACTGGCAGCACCAAAGCCCTTACTCTTGCCAGTAAAGGAAAAACGCAAATGAAAAAAGAGTTAGGAAGAATCATCCCTGAAGACAAGAACAGAAATCACTTTCTAGGACATCAAAGGACAATGAAATGGAAGCCAGATGTCATGGGACCCATGATGCAGCCAATGTCATGGGACAGAGCCATGCTTTTTAAAGGGAAGCCCCTTGAGCAGAGTCTGTGTCAGATTTCTTAACTGACATAACTTCCTAGGCACAGAATCTTTCTTTCCTTTCCTTAATTTGACTTAGTTGAACTAAGTGAGAATAAATGTTTGTCAAACTCAGGCATGGGAGGAGGATCTGGGGACTCATGGGCTGAAACTTCCAGGGAAAGTTGGAGATGCCTGATTATTAAGTAAAATTAAGGTGGAGAAGTCTCAGAGGTGGAGAGCTGTTGGCTGGGAATGGCTGGAATTTTTCTTTTCCTCCTTGCTGATTATCTCCTCCACCATTTCCTTCTTATGAAAAACTTCAATTTTTAAATAAGATAGTAAATATCAAATAAAAATTATACATCTATCCAAGTACTATCATCATATATCAATGCTTGCTATGTGTTAGATGCTCTGATAATCACTTTTTATTTGTTGTGTTATTTACTTCTTATAATAATTCTATAAGTTGAGTATAATTACCCACATCACATATATAAGAAAATAGAAGCCCAAAGAGGTAAAATAGCTTATCCAAGGTCACATGCCAACTGGCAAAGACAGGATTGGAACACAGGACTGTTTGAGGTCAAATCATATGTTTTTAATATGATATGACCATGCAAGATCCCTTCAGGTTTTGACACCTGCTTAAATGTTGTGATTATGTCTACAGGGCTCCTTGAGTTTCCAGTTTCATCGCTAGAGACAAAATTACACAAAATTAAGATATACACATTTAAAATGATATTTTTTCAGTATCCTTTAAAATAGTGCAATACAAATTAAAGGTCTATGTACACTTAAGCCCAGAAAGTTAAATGACTTATAAAAACGGAGAAAGGGATAGATTTAGTAGTAGACCCTAAGTCCCCTATTTCCCTCTCCAATGCACTGCACACTAAATGTCTGCTCAAACAAGCTCCAAGTCAAATATGGTACTTCCCCAAACCTTTTGGCTTCCTTCAGGAGTCATCAAGTCTCACCCAGCCTATGAAGCCGATGTTTGCTGACTATCATCTGACACTCACGCTGGTTTGTGTATTTGACATATTAAGAATGTCGTCTCCCAGTGCCCACGAGGCCAATTTCTACAGTTACTTGGACCCCCCAGAAAAGTGGAAATCTCAGCTTAATTTATAAAATGCTCCACCAACTCAAAGCAAAATAGAGAGCAGGTTCTACGTCTTCTGTCTCGACTAAAGATGAAGATGTCTTTGGCTGCCTTTTCCAGATGAGGTATGATGAAGACAGAGTCCAAGAATTTCTCCTTCAGTACCATGGTCTCAGCTGGAAAGGAAGGCCCCTTTTTAATCTATCCTACTGTCATCCCACAGTCTGTCCTATACTCATAATCTCCTTATTCATTATTCCAAATCACCAGAATAAAAATACTCCTTTTTATATTCACGACATTTACAACCCTAAGAAATGGAGCCACGTAACTTGCAGGAATTGCAGGGGATATTGGTGACTGGCAGAAACAGGATCCTAAAGGTAGGATTGGTGGGGAGAGGGGGTATGAGAACAATCACATGATATCTCTAGAAGTGAGATGGAAGCAGCGTGGGATTATGTTTATCACTAGCGAAGACGTGCAGCAGTAGAGAGGACGACAGCTTAATCCGCCAAATCATGGTACCTGATAACTTGATAGCACTGGAATGAGTTATAAGAAGTTTTAGGGAAGATAGAAATAATGCTTTAAACAACAGAGAATAATTTTTAAAAATTAAGTAAATATAACATTCGTTACCAAATGAAGTTAAAAATAGTCGATGATAATTTTTAAAGTTGACATGAGAAATGAAAATACGCTCTTTGAAATCCTTCAGTCAGAGGTATGTATCTGAATGGACCCCATGTCTAACCTAAGGGTACTTCCTTGAAGTGGAGAATTAAATCTTTCTTAGGGTGATATTAAGTTTAGGTAATAAATTAACTAGAGGAATATCTGGTAGCTGTATGAGTCAAATCTAACACGTTTCTTCATATTCCAGCCTGTATCCATTTCATCTGTTCTGTTGTTCTCTCAAAACAATAACAAAAACAAAAAGCAGATGGCGGAGGGGAGTGAGCATTCCCCAGCTTCACTTCATCTAGGTATTCTCTCCATACTTTTGGTAGCTACTCAACAAACAATCATCACATAACCTTGACAGGACTCTGAAGACAGGCTCTGTAGAAGCTGGCCAAAGGATGTAGTTTTCAGGATAACAAAGCTGGATTTGACTTCTATCTCTGCTGCTTATTCCTTTTGTTTTTTCTTTTGAGATGGAGTCTTGCTCTATCACCCAGGCTGGAGGGCAGTGGCACATTCTTGGCTGACTGCAACCTCCACCTCCTGGGTTCAGGTTATTCCGCTTCAGCCTCCTGAGTAGCTGGGACTACAGGTACATGGCACCCTGCCTGGCTAATTTTTTGTATTTTTAGTAGAGACAGAGTTTCACCATGTTGGCCAGGCTGGTCTTGAGCTCCTGGCCTCAAATGATCTGTGTGCCTTGGCCTCCGAAAGTACTGGGATTACAGGCATGAGCCACTGTGCCTGGCCTCTGCTGCTTATTCTTTGTGTAGCATTTGACATGCTGTTTAAACTCCTGAGCCTCAGTGACACAGGTACAGCTTATAAGTGTCTGCAACATAGGAGGTGCTCACTAAATGTTAGAGGATTCTAACTCAGAGGACTGTTAGATGAATTAAATAAGGTGATACCTGCAGAACTCCTAGCTTAATGGCCTACATGGAATGCCATGAAGCGCACACACACACAATATTATTTCAAAAGATGGGTTCAACTACACTGGTCTAGTGTTACTTCCATTTTTCCCAGTAGTGAGGGAACAGATTGCTGAAAACCAAAGCAGAGGAGAGAATGCAAAACGTGGAAGGGACTGAATCAGCAAGGCCTTGCCCAGTGGGAACTGGGGAACTGGCTGAAGCTCAGTGTAGTTCTGACACTGCCACCCAATGGCTGCGTGACTGCTGAGCAATTGCCTGTTTAAACAGAAGAGTTGGAAGAGACCTGTATCATTTTGTGCTTCTAAATTATTTCATCCTTGAAATGAATAAACACGATAGAGAAATTATATAATTCAGTGTGTGAAGGAACACTTTGTTCTTAATGCAATTTTGTAAGTGTTTCTAGGGCTGATTGGTATTTGGATGTCCGCCCCCTCAGCTGACAAACCACTAGCAAGATGCCTTTTAAAAGCTTCATTCAAATAACTGGCTGCCAATAGGCCCGGTCTGCTGTTGTTTCCCAGTTGTAGTCAAATATCTTCATTCATTCGAGTTGGATGCTGATGTGCTTTGAAATCCTTAGAAGAAAGTCAATCTTTTCAGCTAGGATTTGGTCGGTACGAGAAAACCTTCCTCCTTGTGGAAGGGTTCAGCAACTCAGCAACTCCTTCTCCTTTGTCTCATTGCCTAGTCCTTGCAAACCATGGAAGTGGGATGAAATTCAGAAAAGGAAGTTTAGACAGGACACAAAAGAAAAATTTACAGGTTAACATGAGAGAGAGCACAGCACAGGAAATACCTTTGCTGATTAAGCTAAGAAGTGAACAGGCTGTGGAATAAGAGATTGTTTCCACATCTGATTTCTCCTTGATAAGATTGTGATGGGAAAAAAATGCAGCGAGATATTGGCTGCGCTGACTCTGGAAATCTATTTCAGCCCTACCTGCTGGAGTTTATTTAAGGGGTCCTGTAACCAGAACTTGTCTGAATCTCGGGGACTTTGCTCTGACTCCAATTCTTCTAATCTATCATTCTTTGTGTTTCCTGTTTTCTCATAATCCTACATTATTTTTTTCATGCCATTTATGGAATTTTGAAAGAGACTTTTATTTTGTTGAGAGGATGAAAGGAGTTTTCACTGGGGCTCTTTGTCTTTTGGTAAGCCATAAACCAGTAGGGAAAAGAGTAGAATCAAAAGGAAGAGACAATAAGTTGAAGGGAACAAGATGTAATTTTTGGTCTTACTCTGTTTTGGGATAGCAATAGGAGGGCAGATGAATGGATATGGGCTGGGGTGTGGGATTAGGAAGGATGAGAGTCCGACATGAACGCTTGTTTGTCTTGCTCCTCCACCAGATGGTGAGTTCCTTGAGCTTATCCTCTGGCTCCTACTCATCTTTCATTAAAACACACAACAGCTTCTCAGTGCTTACTGAATTAAGCTGACATCCTTCTCACAGGCATCCTAAATTCTCTGGTGTCAAAATGAGAGAATGGAAAAGAACACGTGAATCCCACTCCATTTGTCACTGAATGATCTCTGCTGTCTTTCAAATCCTCATTTTCTTCATCTAATAGAATGTGGGTGATAATTGAAAGTCGGTTATAGAATTGTAGTGAGGATTAAATGAGGTAATTCATGTGAGGACCTGGCTAGCACAGTGCTGGCATATAGTAAACATTCCATGAAAGTAGCTATTCTTCTTATGATAGTGTCTAACTAATTATGGGACCCTGAATAAGTCATGTTTTTCACCGTAACAGTGAGTGATAATTCTTTTGTAAATTGTTGTAAATATTTAATGGGAAAGTCTTTGTAAAATACCCAGCAGGTGTATGTGATGCAGTAGGTGTTCGTTCATTGTTACTGTCTAGTTGTCTTTCCCATTAATTTGTTCACTATTTCCTTTCATGTAACCAATCCTCTAGCCAAACTGAGAAACTTGTTCCTGACACATCCTTCACTGTTTGCTATCACACGTTTGCTCATTTCATGGTATCCTCTTTTTCTGCTTCCCTGTCTCTGTCCATAGGAACATTGGGTATCTTTTAAGGCTTAGCTCAAATACCACCGGCTACATGATGTCTTGCTTAAGCTTCTCAACCAAGTGTTATTTTTCCTTCCTTCAAAAACTCCCTTAGCACTTTTATCTCTTTACTAGTACATGCTTTCTTTTTTTTTTTTTTTAATTATAGGCATTTCTGTGCCCCATCTTGTGCACACACTCCTCCCAGCTATTCATGTCTCCTCTTCTTCCTCACCCCATACCCATTTACCCAAAGGATTACGACTCATTGTCTAGGAAACTGTCATCTCTAGAAAGACTTCTTGCTGAAAGAACAAGGAATTCTCTTGCTGAATTGCATTTACAGTTAGATACCCCAGTTTTCTCATACTAGTCATGATACTTTTTCATCGATCTTACTGGATTTCAATACCTAATTTTAAGCTCCACAAGGGATGTCAGAGATTGTATCTTTTTCATCTTAGTATTCTCTATTTCTTACACATCATCTGGCACACAGTAAGTGCTGATTTGTGTTTCTTGAACTGAGCTGATCCTGCCAACCCAGTGCAGTGTTTCGACACCACAAAAGCGCGATGAAGTTACCTTTAACAATCCACTATAGCTGTCTAAGAACTTTAACTGAAACATCTTTGCCTTTCGTGAAGACACGAAATTGCTGTAATTTGAAATACTAAATAACTACATTATATGTCAAATAAAAGAAAAATGCTATTTCACTATTATTTGTTACCTTTGACTTACGCAGCAATCCAACTAATAAATTAAATGATTATTCTTTTTATGAAATAGCAATATTCCTGAGAAGTTTCCAGATACTGTCATAAAATTAAATTATGACATAAATACATGTAAAACTTTACTCTTTTTAAAGAAAAATCTTAGTGAAATGACTTGAATAGCAAGAATTCCTCTGGAAGGACAAAATAAGAAAATTCCCTTACTGTGTTTGGATATAAAGGACATAAAATGTCCCCTTGCATGTTTTTCTTTGCATCTGTGTTTTCACATGTTGATTTACTGGAGTGGACTTGTGCATGCCATGTAAAATTGTGTAAAGAAGCTGACCCCAGTTATAGCACCAAACAAGCTATAAATATTAAAAGTAAATGAAAACAAGAATATTTGAAAGATTGCCAAGGGATAGAATTAAATGATTTCATAACTTTTTCATTACAGTAATAGGAATAACTAATATTTATTAAGTAGTGTTTTATTTCTTTGTTTTCTCCATTTTTTTGTGGTCCATCAAAACAAGCCTCTTATCTAGGCCAGATTGCTTAAAACTAAGCACAAATTTTAGTTTGAAAAGGAAAAATATGACTGTATTATCTATAAGTAATAAACAAAAAGTTAATTTGTGAAAAAGAGTATAGCTATTCCAAGATTTGTCTCTGAAAACTTTATATGTTTGCAGAACATTTATCAAATAGCTGAAAGGAAGAAAATTTTGTATCATTTTTCGTTTTCCGAGAAATCATGCTGTATTTGTTGGAATACATTTCAGTACTTTGTTCTCATCCTCAGATGACGATGCCATATGATCTTTCTCACAAGGTCAGCAGCAAGAGGTAGAGGATTTCTGGGGATATGTGTTTCAAAGCCAGTGATTCTTGGGAAGGACTACGAACTCTGCTACAAATACTGGCTGATCTCTATACCATGGACTCTCGAGAACAGCAGTGTTTCAACACTTAGTATTTTGTTGCCAGAAATAAATCAAATGCACAATAGTGCAAAAAAAAAAAAATGTTCCTGGAACAACCGGAGGTCAGTTTTGACCTTAGCTAATCTGGCAATTTTGCTTGGATTTCTCAGTGCCTACATTTGATCTCTAAATTGTGCTTCATAGCTGGACTCACCCCTTCTAGGGCCAGACACAGTTTATCTGGCTGGGATTTTCCTGTGTAGGTTTAAAGATAAGTAAAATATCTGACTCACTGCTCATCTTGCCAGAGTGTCTTTCTGTTGCACAAAAAGATAGCAACAGCATAGGCTGCCATGAATAGGTTTGGCAAGGCTGACTGGTAGAAATGGTTCCCATGTGGTGTAAGATTAGAATTAATTGCTCGAACACACGGTAAAGAACCCTAAGGTGTTTCAAGTGTCCTGAAAGAAAAGACCAAGAAATAAAAAGATATTAAAACACTTCAGTGATTCTCTAAATAAATTTATATAGGCCACAGCATATTATTTAAACTATCTAGGGCCTAAATGATGCCTTAAAGGAAAAAAATTTCCTAATATCATGCACCAATATTTTAAAAATAAAATACATGCATAAAAGAAGGCAATTTCTATTACTCATATAGGCATCTTTGAAGAGGACCAGGAATAAAACATTTGCAAACAACTGAGCAAATCCATAATAAAAATTCACACAAGCACATAAATATAAAATATGGTTTAAACTATTATCTTGATATAAATAATATAATTTATTTTTACAAAGTTCTTATGGGGAAATGGAGGCTCAGAGGTGTCAACTGATTTTGTCCAAAGGGACACTAGGGGCTTTCATGCCTTGGACTTTACCTGACTTAGAATAGTTCTCTGTGTGCATATCTATATGTTTGTGTATATGTCAGTTATATTAGATTATAGATATCTAATTAGTGAAGATTATGTTCAACTCATAATTGTATTCCAATATAACACATGCTACATTGCCTGGCAAATAGTAAGCACTTAATAGTTATTTGCTAAACTGAATTTATAAAAACGAGTTAACGTATCAGTGATGGGAATTTCTGAGTATAAGCGTAATATTTTATTCATTTGCTCATTTATTCTACAAACATAGACTGTCTATTGTATGCCATACTGTTAGAGCTGATATCTTTCCTTAAGAAAATTTTACTTTAGAGACGGATAGAAAGTCTTGTAAACAAATAATTATAAGCACATGAGAAAACTTTAATCATTTATGTAAAAAGTAGAAAGTAGTTCTAATATAGTGGCAATTCTAATTAATGTAAATGGCTCAAACTCACCATTTAGGTGGGGCGGTCTCCAAGAGAAACATTTAAGATAAAAGATACGGCAAGTTTTAAAATAAATTTCTTTTATTATACTATTCTTGGCCTATTTTGATAGAAAAATTATGCTAGTCTTATGAGTTGCAAAGGATTTCTTCTTTTTTCTATTATCTAGTACAGTTTATATAAAATAGAAATCTTTAAATTTTGAAAATATATCAAAAATTGTTTCATATTAAATATTATGATCATAGCTCACTGCAGCTTTGCAATCCTGGCCTCAAGGGATCCTCCCACCTTAGCCTCCTGAGTACTGGGATAACAGGTGAATACCACCACACCAAGCTTAGAATTATTAACATCTATATTTTCTTAACACAATAAAAAATTAATCAATACTTCTACATATCTCTTGAGCAAAAGAAGAAAGTTTAAATGTTTTAATGACAATTAAAGCACTCCCATAATTACTCACTGTTATCCTTCATACTTTATACAGTCATTGTGTGGTTTGATTTACATGAATGCTTACAATCTCTTTGCATTCCATTTTTTTCTATTGTTGTACAATTTTCTGAAGTAAAGCTTCTATCAACAGGGGTTTGTGAGTGGTAAGCAATCACGAGTTGTCTAAAAATAGACTGACTTTGTCCTTCCTCTGAAATGACAGTTTACTTAGAAATACAATTTTAGTTCGAAACTTGATTTTCTTCATACTTTGAAGATTCTTTTTCATGATTTTCTCATTTCTTCAAATGCTGTTTCAAAAATCTGAGATCAGCTTGATAGAGGAGACAAACACTAAACTAGTAAAATAAGTAAATAATTCCATATGAGGTAGTGGCAGATGCTAAGAGGAAGCAGAAACATTAGAGGAATTACTTTGAGGGTCTGCACTGATTCCACATAATCTTCAGTTCACTTGTTATTATTATTAAGATGTTTGTCTGGATCAGCTCACCCTGCCCACCCCTAATAGATATTCATTTGTGTGCTGTGCTGTGCTAATGAACAAGAGGGTAGATCTCTACCCTGCTGGGACACACAGTTTTGTGGAATGAGATAATCATAAAAATGTGTGATTATGAACTTTGTTAAAGTTAACGAAGGAAAAGAACAGAGAATTAGGAAAGTTCATGGTGGAGGATCCAGACTTAGTTTAGGGGGTTAGAAAAAAATTTTCTTAAAAAGGATGTTTGATCTGCAATTTGAAGTATAAATGAGAGTTAACTGGATAAAAGGAGAAGACCAGAAAGAAAAAACGTCTTCCAGCCTGAAGGAACGGTTATTATATAAGTTGTAAGGTGGAATAAGGCTTGAAGTATTGAAAGACACAAGATGAGGCAGGGGATTCAGGCAGGTCCATGTAAAAATGCAAAATAAATGATTTTTTAAAAAGATCTTAAAGTGACTGGAAATGATTAAGAACTTTCAGAAGGAGAGGAGCGGCATAATCAGATTGTGTTTTTTCATAAATGAATCTGGCAGCACTGTGGAGAAGAGATTAGAGGGTGGTAAGAGTTAATGCAGGGAGATCAGCTAGGATTTGGGCATTGTAGCAGCTCAGGTGAGAGGTGATAATGGCTTAAACCAAAACGAAGTGGGAGAGGAAGAAAGAGGAAGAGGGATATGGAAATTCTTTAGAAGGTAGTGGTGAACCAACAAATGCAGAGGTAAAGGTCTGGTGTCAAGCATGAGTCCTTTGTTCCAGATTGCACAGCTGATGCTAATCTAGAGCAGTTCACAGTTTGTAGGGAGAAATATAAGCTGGTATAATGAGTTGAGATGTTTTTGTGATATCTAGATAGAAAGACAGAGTAAGCAGGAGGAGTTCTGTGTTTAATCTTAATTGGAAATATAAATTTGAGAGTCATCAGCCCATGCAAATAAAACACTTAGATTTATTTTTTCAAAATAATGGCAGGACCGTTTTCCCTAGATGGGTCCCACCTACTTCCACCATAGAACCAACTGTTTTGTACTTAGGGATAGATGAAAGAAATGAGTCTTTAGGAGCAAATGAACATTATTTCTCTTTGCTTATTCTCTTTTGACTCTTTCATTAGTAACAGTAGTAAGACCAAACAATATATTGCACAATATCAACAAAATTGAGTTATATAGAGAGAGTTTAAACCACATAAGTCCATTGGGTTGATTTGCACAGAGTAGGCGATCAATACATATTTGCTGTTTGACCAAGTCACACAAAAAGCATTACTAAATCATTTCCTTAATGTTTGCTTATAATTGGGTTTGTTGTCAGAAACATGACTGTAGTCATAAATACTTTTGTACTCCTATTTAAGCAGACAACAGAAAGCCCTTTTCACCCTGGAGGCTGACTTTGGCTACATAGGCAGTTCAGTCACCTGGCATAACCTCAGATCCACAGCTTCAGGCTGTCACTTAGCCTTTGGTGGGCCATGGGCCTTCTCAGCTAATATAATTTGGCAAACACGAAGTATTTCATGAGAGCAGCAATGTGGAAAGAACTCTGTAATTTCGCAAAAAATCTTGCCAATGTTTTTAACCACTCAACTTCCCAAATACTCTGCTTTGGGCAAATTAATTTACAAATATGTTGTATTTTCTGTGTCTTTTTCCATTCTCTCTTTAGGGACCATGGATTCAACATGAACCCTAGTACCAATAGTCTCATGGGATCAGGCTTAGTTCTCTGGAGGGACCAGAAACAGATACAATGTAAGAGGCAACTTAAAATTGTTATCAAGAAAGGGAACCAAGGGACTGAACCATGAAAACAACATTATATGTTGGATCTCAGAGTGTGAGACTGTAGATGGGAAATGTGGCAGGAAGATGAGAGCTGAGATCAGTAATAGGCCTCTAGACCTAGTGCAAGGTTATAGGAAAATGGAAAAATGTCCAAAACATAGCTCTGAATAAACAAGGGTGTCAGGAGTTTCTTCCAGCGGGGCTGGGCAGCTGTGGGGAATGTGATTAAAAGCTCAGGATCATTTCAGACACCTGGGTCCCTTTGTGTTACACCACTCCATTCTTTTGGAATGCCTTTTCCCACCTTTCCTGCCAGTATCAATTCTGTTTTCTGTGGACACGTGACCACTGATATAATGTTTAGTTAGCCTGAGAAATATCTGGGTAAAAATCTATTTTCTAATAAAATGCCAAGTCATTATAGCGTGTTTGTTTTAGGAGGCAAATTTTGTAACCTTTTATATGTTTTAAGCATTTTGCCCCCTTCCCCCAGAAAGTTTAAAGAATTTTTCTCTTCTTTTGCTTTTGAAAAATTTCGGATGCATTTTCAGGAAACAGTTACCTAAGGTGTTTTAGTCATATTTTTAAATTTAATGCATCACATGTTTATTGCTATGCACTTGCTCAAAGTTAGGAACCATGTTTTATTTGCATTGCTTTATATACTTGGTCAGGCCAATAACAATGAGAATATCTATTATTTATTAAATGCATAATCACTTTACCTATATACTATTTCTAATATTCACAGAAACCTTTCCAGATATGGATGTTATTTCCGTTTTAGGCTTAGAAAGGCTAATCTGCCCAGAGACAGAACCAATAAATGCTGGGGTTGCAATCAGATCTCAGATCTGAGCTCTCTCCATGACTCCACACTGCCTTAAATATGTGTTGATTTGATTAATCTAAATTGTTGGTCACACAGTTTATGTTCTTTACGTCCTAGGGCTTCTGTGATCATCCCCAGAGCCAGACTAGCTAGGAGCCAGTAAAAGGAGGGGAAAGAGATAGAGAGAGAGGGAGTTATTGAAACCATTATTTTGTGCCCTGTCATTTCACAAGGGAAAAAAGCTTTAGCTTCTCTCTTTGTTTTTGCTATCTGTCTTCTCTTTTGCCTTTTTAATTCCTGGTCCTGTTCGTTATTCATTTCTTATCCATTATTATATTCTTATTATGAAAGCATTCATTTATTAAAAAAATTTATATTCTTATATTATTTACTTATATACGTAAATGCCTTGGTCTAACCTAAGCTTACAATTTCCCAAAGGTTCTTTAGTTAACTAGCTAAATTCCAAAAAGTTAATTTGCCCAGAGGGTGCCTATTTGTATATACTTGGTTAGGCTAATAACAATGAGAATATCTACTATTTATTAAATGCCTAATTACCTATACTATTTCTGATATTCACAGAAACCTTTCCAGGTAGGGTTGTTTCCTAGGGAAACACACACACACACACACACACACACACACACTTTGTCAGGGGAGAAAACCAATAGGTTATGACAAATTCATTCTTGAAGGTAAGTAAACTAAGTTTTGAAACTGAAAAGATAAACTCTGTGGAGTCTCCTGAATTGCTCAGTTCTGTTCCTGAGGCTCAAATCCCCACTTGCCGTCCCCCAGCTCTGTGCTCAAAGGCCTTCCTCATGCCCCAGATAGCTCTGTGCTTTCTGGCTGGGTACTGTCATGTGTTCACACATTTTCAGATCAGCATGAGCAGAGTGGTGGAAAGAAACGATTGGGAGCTAGCATTTGGATGCAACTTACAGATATTTAAACTATATATTGAATTCCCAATATGTGTTACATGTTTTTTTTTTAAAAAGTAGACAAATATAGAAATTAATGGTAGTAATAAGATGTGATTAATTATGTATTAGTCAGGTGTATTACCATGTGTTAGGGGAGCTCAGGAGCATAAGGAAGGTTCCAGAGAGACCCATTTGATGACTGATGACAGGCTGTCAGTGAGGGAAGGTGGGAAGTATATTCTAGGTAGAATGAATAACTAGTGCCTTAGCACAGACCAGAAACAAAGAAAAAACATAGCTTGAGAAGTCTGACCTCTGAGCACTTTGGGATGTTCCTCGAGTGTAATAACTGGCGCTTACTCCGTACCAAGTCACTTTCCTAGTGCTTAACTTGAGCTGTTTACTTAAATCTTCACAATAAGGCTATAAGGTTAGTTCTGCTACTGTTTGCGCTCTACATTGCAGAAACTGAAGCACAGAGAAATGAGGAGGCTTGTGAAGGTTCACACGGTTACTAAATCAGAGCCTTTGCACTTAACTAACACACTATGTCCTTCCAAGTGTTTGCAGAAGAACAATAAATATTCATTAATGTATTTCTTCTTGCAGGCCACTTGTGTCCTTCACTAATCAGAAACTTTTATGTTTTAATGGCACTTCACAACCTCCCCTGAGAAGAAAAGAAAGAGGCAGACCCACCAGAAAAATGAAAATGCCAAAGGCGAAAAGACAAGGGGTAAAAACAAACTCCACTCTGGATTGAGTTACAGCATCAAATACCTTATTGGTAATACGGAAGTGCTGGGTAGAGGAGGGCGTGGTCCCTGGCCAGGGCTCCACCCCCATGGACCTAGGTGGGGACAGGCATTTCCTGTCCAACAGCTGCTGCATTTCCCAAGACCACTCTGGCCTGCCACGCCCCCATCCTGTGCCTATAAAAATCCCCAAGACCCTCGCAGGCAGACCCAAAGACAGCTGGACGTGGAGAAGAACACACTGACAGGCACTGGCCCATCTGCAGGCCACAACGGCAGAAGCAGAACTATGCAGAATTTGGCTGGGACAGTTGGAGCAGAGCCCAGGCCGCTGATCCCCTGAATCCAGGGGAAAACCATCTCCCTTCTGGCTCTCCCATCTGCTGAAACCTACTTCCACTCAATAAAACCTTGGACTCATTCTCCGAGCCTAGGTTTGATCTGATTCCTTTCATACACCAAGGCAAGAACCTGGGATACAGAAAGCGCTCTGTCCTTGTGAGAAGGTAGAGGGTCTAATTGAGCTGACTAATGGAAGCCGACTACGGATGGTTATACTAAAAGAGCACTCGAACACACGCCCACTGGGGCTTCAAGAGCTGTAAACTTTCACCCCTAGACACTGCCATGGGGTTGGAGCCCCGCAACCTGCCCGTCTGATGCTTCCCTAGAGGTTTGAGCAGCGGGACACTGAAGAAGCGAGCCACACCCCCATCGCATGTCCTGCGAGGGGAATAACGAAACTTTCCTGTTTCTATGGGATGGGAAGGGTTAATTAAAGAAGGCCGCCGTCTTTAATTAAAATTAGAAAGGTAGTGATGCCAAAAAATCAAGGAATGCAAGATTCAGTAGAAAAGTGTGTCTCATTCGTTGGCATAATTGTGCCAACTTTTATTATAGGAAACCAAAAGATCCTATCAGGGTAATTATCAGGTCATCAGTTTTTTGTCACATACAGCTTGTGTTGTGCCTTTAAGAACTTCCTGTATTCTCAGCTTTATTATTCAGGACGGGGTCAGGTGTAGTACAGATATCTGGGGCAATTATTACATGTTGTAATCCTGGATTCCAAGGGCTTTTCGGAACAGATTTGTGAGAAAAGAGTGAAAAGGAAGCAAGCAGGAGCATGTTTGTTTTTAATAAAGAGACCCTGCCCTAACTTCCTGAACTAAAACCAGTCTAGACTTGTTTTTTCCATTTTACACAATGTCCGTAACAACAGAATAAATTTATTAAAACCAAACAAACTGGGGGCTGAGTTTTGGCAAAGAAAATCAGACAGAAATAGAATCAGCTGCTCTTGAGTTGGGGCGAGAGACTGATTTACAAACCAGCAGTGCATTAAGGCTGCATTGGCCTTAACTGAACTGAAGTTATTTTCATTATGAGGAGACAATGGAGAGGCAACATGTCTGGCCTGGTGCCTGGGACATGAACTAGTTAGTCCATCAATTCTGACCTCTTTTTCCATCAGTTTTCAAAACTCAAGATGTTAGAGTTAGGAAGGAACCTTAAGGCATTTTCTCCATAACTTTGTGTGGAGAAAACTGAGTCTCAGAGAAGTTAGATGTTTTCGCCTCCCCATTCACAGCCATAGATTAAAGTAATGTATCACTAAATTACCAGGCAGTACCTACAAATGGGGAGATTTACTTTTGGCTCCTGTGGGTTGGGAACATAAATGTGGCAATAATTCCATTTGTGCACAGTTGAGCATAGATTCACAGTCAGCACTTTATTAATTGGTAGACTCTGTTTTGAGGTGATCCAGCTTCCCCCGCTCCTTCTTAGCCATTTTAGGCTGCCTTCAGTAGTGATTCGGCATTTAGGTGCAGGTAGGTGTGTATGTAAGCAGCGTTTAAGGAGTGTCTGAGTCCAGGCCAAAGTCAATGTGTATTTTTACATTTCAGAATGCTTTCCATTCCTCATCTCGCTTAACCCTTACAATATACTTTTAAGGAGACGGAAAGTTAATTTGAGCTGAATGTGATGGCAAGTGCCTGTAATCCCAGCTACTCAGAAGGCTGAGGCAGGAGGATTGCTTGAGCCCAGGAGTTCTAGGTTACAGCTATGATTAGATAAATTGTAACAGTACATGAATCCTGAAATGTACAATGGAAAGTTGTACAGTAAATGAATACTGAAATGTAGTGAAGTTGTACAGTAAATGAATACTAAATGCTATGTTCATTTTCACAAAAGGTGCTCCTGGTAAATTTGCTTCAACATGTTGGGTTAATTCTGGAGATGTACAACATTTGGCACCAGAACAGTCACTTCATTTCTAAGACTCATCGTTATTTAACTCTTCATGCCTAAAGAGACAGATTCTTTCACAGGCCCCTTCATGATGAATCATACTCCTTCCTTGACTCTTCCAGTGCACAATCATTTTCTAATGGCAGATTGCAAAAGACTAGATGTTTCCACTAAACCAAATAGTCCTTTGAATGCCAAGCACCACAACTGGTGAAGACAATGGCTGCTTGGAGAAGTGACTTTATCCTTAGGAAATTTCTCCATTACTTTGAAATTTCTTCCCGTTCATACAACTGTGACCACTTTATTCAGATCTTAGAGGCTCAATCTCTATAGTAATAAAATAAAATAAAACATCTCAAAAGATGTTTTAGTATCTTAATTTAAGGGGTGTGTCTTTTAGAGAAAGGTAGGAATTTGTAGAGGTGGGTGAGAAATTAATATTAGCTCTATGAACAAAATAGCCTTTGCTGTGGTTTGGGTTCTATTCTGTTTTTGGCGACTAAGAATCATAACTAATAATGGCCTTTTCAAAATACATTTCTTTTAAGAGCCTGCTTGATGTTTATCATAGCTTTCCTCATTTATTCATTAGTTTTCAAGTGACAAAGTCCTTTTAAGTTCATGCCTAAAATTTCCATCTCTGTGTAGAATTTGATAATATTGAACTTACAATTAGACATTTTGAGAGCCATGTAAAAATTGTGTTATGTGACATGAGCTTTCCAGAAATGGCTATATTAAGATACAAAGTTGTAATTAGAATCACACAGACAGAAATGGTGAATCTTCCTGAGGAAACTTTGAGGAACTTGAATATTTTGCAACTTAGAAAACTGGAAAATGAGAAAGTGGAGGAACTAGAGGGTCATAAGTTGACGACAGTTCTCAAACTATAGATAGCCTTTAGTAAATTGCCATTTTAACACTTTGTCTGGCTTGCATATGTATCTCCTGCCTTACCATATGACTACCATTCTTTCCTAAACATCAGCTGGCTTCAACAGGACAGTGATTCTCTGACCCATTAGCTCCCACCTTACAAAGCAACATCTTATTACCATCCACCACCATTCTTGTATTTCACAATTATGTAAATATCCTACCACAAACCACCCTGCCCTCCTGTGAACACCTACCATTACCACTTGTGGCTAACTTAGCCTCTTCCCTTCTTCAGGCTTGGTATATTATTAGTGGTGTTATGGGAAAAAAAAGAGTGTGGAGTGATGAGAATGAGTCAATCCAAGACAGGCTGCAGGTCTGAGGAGTTAGATCACAAGTAGTCATTCTTTTCCATTTTCATTCTGTGACATGTTTGCCAAAATGTGGCGGAGTAAAGGGTACGTAGTTCTCCAAGAAGTGCCCTTTGGGACTAATGGGTCCTGATGGTCAAGGTGTACTTGGTAGAGATTTCAGGACAGAGCCTGAACTTTCAACATACTGTGCAGTGTGTATCTGCCTCCTTCCAGATACTTCCTTTCCTTTGTTCTCAGCCCTGTTATTATCACCCTGCCTGAACTTTTGCCCCATGTAGTGACCTAGAGCAACATTCTTGGAAGAGATGTCGATGGAGGGAGAAGTGGAGATAGAGGCCATGAACTGGTAAGAAAGTAGTAAAGAATGGGCCTGGTAAAATAGTAAAGGATGGATGTGCAGCTATTAGCAAAAAGGAGGGCGTGACAGAAGGAGTGAGGAGCAGGAAATGAAGACAGGAAAGTAAGGCACTATCAACCCTGGGCATAAAGGCAAGAGCTATTTAACAACAAATAAGATCAGCCCCATGAAATTCAGCTGGCATAAATAAGAATTAAGGTCAGAATTTGGAGTTAAATCTAACATTTTTTGCTCACTCCCAAGTTACATCATCATCATCATCATCATCATTACATCATTAACATTATCATTTAAATATGTGGCTATCTACTAGTACATTAGAAATTCCCATTCCTCAAGTTCCCAGTGAACTTCATGTTTATCTTACACTAGGGAACCAGATGGCTGGAGAGAAGATGTGAAGTCAACATTATGCTTTGTGAGTCTGATCTATTTCCTTGACCTCCTGGGCTCAAGGAACCCTCTCACCTTAGCCTCCTGAGTAGCCAGGACTGCAGGTACATGCCACCACACCATATCCTGGCGTGTGTGTGTGTGTATATATATATATATATATATTTTTTTTTTTTTTTCCAGAGATTAAGGTCTCATTATGTTGCTCTGGGTAGCCTTGAACTCTTGGCCTCAAGGGTTCCTTCCACTTAAGCCTCCCAAAATGTTAGGATTACTGGTGTGAACCACCGAACCTGGCCAGATCTATTTCCTGATACATCTTTATCTCTTAGCAGGCACTCAATAAGTGCTTGGTGAAGGAATGAATGAATGAATGATTGTAAAATGAATACATTTTACTGCCCCTGGCAGGATTAGTGAAGCCTGCCCCTTTTAGTGAAGACAACATAGACGTGTTCTTCCCCAGCACAAACTTAATGAGGGTGCTACACAATTTTTATTTGATAAAATGAATGCATCCTTTCCTTATTCTTTTGCATAGCATTGGTGCAACAAGTGTGGTGGTAGAAGATACCGTTCTAGGCATGTGTAGTGGATGCTGTGGTGAGCCACGCAGATCACCCCAAAGTCATTAGCTTCTCCCAGCTCTGAGTATGTTGACAACTAAGAGCTCTTAGCTGAATCCTACCCACCAACCAGCCCAGGAATCTCCCTGTGCTCAAATGAACCACATTGCTCACGGGCATGCACCTTTCCTACGTGCAGATTGCATCATCAAGTGTTCGATGTTGGGGTATAAAGGCCTGGCTCTCATTCTCCAATTTGGGGCACTCTACAAGGAAACCTCAGCTCCAAATATCCACATGGGACAATCTAAGCCTTTCTTATGACTTCATCACAGCCTAACTTATATTTCTGTGAATGCTACTTTTTTTTTATTTCTGCACAGATCCTAACACACTCCCCAATAAACTTCTTGTAATGGAATTTAGATGCAGAGGCTTCTTGGAAAACATGACTTGTAATACAATGTAAATTTTAAAATTTTTATTTCACCACAGATTGAATTATGTCAAACATGCTCTATTTTTATATCCTTAATTGTAGGCTAACACCATATTACCATTTTAAGACCAGTGGGCTAATGTAGAAATTAAATTCTGCCATTAAGATTTGGTACAATTGTTTGGATAATTAAACATTAAAGCCTGGATTCCACAAAACTTTTCATAACCTGCAGAAGTGGCTTAATGCCCTCGTCCTTTACTCACCCATATCCTCCCATCCCTAGGATGACTCAGATATTTCACTGTCAAGACCACGAAAACAATGACTTCTTGTTCCAGAACAGAAAGAAAAGAGAGACTTATCTTAGAAGTGAATTGAATGAGGGTGAATCACCTTCAAATTTAGAGGTCTGATTTTAAAATTCACTTGCTTCTTTGATTTCCAGAGTACCTTTTCTCCAAAGGTTCAACCCTCAGAAGGTGTTGGTGTTTAACGTTCTCCTTTTCCTGTTCTCTAGGTCTCTTCATGAAAGATTTCTGCAATTAGGGGCCATGGGTCAGATCCATCCCACTTCCTGTCTTACTTTTCTCTGTTTAGAAAACAAGATATTTTCAGAAAGGTGAAATATTGGTTCCAAATTCAATTGTGAAATCAAGTTTGCTCATGATGGTTGTGGACTGTTTCCTTTGTGGCTCTCCTGCCCCAGCTGTGGCCCCCTCAGCCCGTGGCCAGCCTCCTGCCTAGACCCCTCCACAACACACCTCTTCCCTCTGTATTGCTTTCCCTATTTGGCTGCATTCTGTCCATGGCCCAGAACCATTCTGGTGGCTTACATGTTGCCCATTGTCACTACAACTGAAATGTCTCTGTTCTACAGCTCATGATCCAATCATCACCAATTGCTCTCTCTCAGGGTGCAGTTTTCCCTGGCACACTTCTACTTGTTTAATAAATATTTAAATGAATGAATGAGTATATAAATAAACTGCTCTCTCTCTCAATATGCTATACAGCCCTCATCCTACCCCTGGATGCTCAAGGTATATGTATATTAAGATGGGCCTGATGAAGGCAGCCTTTCCTTCTGGCATGATTCAATAGGTGAGGTGGGAGAAGAACTTCATGACAATGGATGTCAGAGCTATTTTACTATCTATGTATTTCTAATGCTTTGACGTTTGGGGCTTTGCTTACCCTGGAGAGATTGCCCCTCCCTCCTAGAGATAGCCAATTCCTAGAGATAGTAATGAACTCGCCTGCTAGTATAGCTTTTATATGCAAGCCAGCTGATTCAGAGTCCATACCCCAACTATCTCCTTACTGGACTATCACATGCTGGGCTACCACCCAGCTCTACTCAACCCAGAGCCAGGTTCCAGGCCACAAGGGACAGCTCCTATGCCCCAGAGCCTACTGAAATGATCAAAACCAGCCAATCCTAAGCCTCCTTACCCTCCTAGCTATCTCCCATATCTCCCCATGAAAACGATCATAAAGGCCCTTGTCATTTTCCCCTTGCTGCTTCTACCTTCTGATTAACCCAGATGCTTCCCCATGTGGCTCTGCATAGCATGGTGTCATGCTTCCTTCTCTTGGGAACTGTGAGCAATAAACTATTTTTCAAATGGCAATCTTTTTTGATCTGTTGGCCTCCCCATATCTAGAATATAATAAAACCTACATTTAAAAACTGTTACCACAAATACTTTTTCAGCCTCAAAGAAATAGCCTGAAAGAAGTCTCTGCCTTCCCGTTAAGTTCTGACAATTAGAGAAATGACTATTTAGATGCAATATAGTATTAAATTAAAGGAAAATTAATAGACAAACTTTACTTAATATGGATTATCACCCTGGGATCTCAAGCAATCCTAAGAATTATTACATTACCCTAAGTAAACTAAAGTTCAAAGATAAAAGTAGTTTTTCCAGTGTCACAGAGGCACACACATAGAAGAGGTGAGACTCAAACCCAAACTTTCCAATCATTCCTTTGAGTCCTGCTTCAGTCCCTCTCCTTCCAGCATAGTCTTCGAAATATGTTAACATCTTTTTCTTTTTTTTTTTTTGAGACAGAGTTTCGCTCCGTCACCAGGAGCCAGGCTGGAGTGCAGTGGCGCTATCTCAGCTCACTGCAACCTCCGCCTCCTGGGTTCAAGATATGCTCCTGCCTCAGCCTCCCAAGTAGCTGGGACTACAGGGGCACGCCACCACACCCAGCTAATTTTTGTATTTTTAATAGAGACGGGATTTCACCATGTTGGCCAGGATGGTCTCAATCTCTTTATCTTGTGATCTGCCCACCTTGGCTTCCCAAAGTGCTGGGATTACTGGTGTGAGCCACTG